CACTAGTCAAATAAAGTAATACTACGAATAAAATAAAAAAATTATAGGAAGTAAACTTTAAATCCTCTTTGATCTGCTTTTCCGATGACTTGTTTGAGACATTGAGAATTTGAGATTATATACATATGTTGCATTCGTTGATTCATGCTACCAAATTCCCTTGCAAACTAACATCTCTTCTTAGACCATGTTTTAACATACTCTATATAACTCTCTTCCCTTGTATATATACTAATCTCAATTGAGGTTTTTTCTTCCTGTCCTCCTTCGAATATTGAAGTTGAGGGCAAAAGCAAGATTTTAAATGCAGAACTGCCATTGTTACATCATTCCATCATAATTAGTTCGATTTAATTGCCATATGATGCTGAGATTTATACTCTTCTACTTATGAAAGCAACTAATAGATGAATACTACCTCAGCTTTGTTGATCTTAGCGTTTTGCATATCTGTTAGCTCTGAAATGTGGTCGAATTAATGCACTGAAATTAACTATACTATTCCTGTTAAACACCACTTATTACGCCCTTTCTTCTTATACAAGCAGTGCACCTATCTTCCCATGGTTGAGAACCAAGTGCTTAGCTTTGTTTGGCAAATGGGCGTCTGACCTGAATAAAGAAAGAAGTTCCTTAATGTGGAGAGAGTGTATTTGGGCAAGCATGCATTACTAGTATTAATACGGAGTATCAAGGATGCTCTAAGAGCTACCTGAGTACTATATTAGAGTATGATTTCACTTTTCATTACTAGTATTAATATCACTACCCGATGTTAGATTTTAAGCTGGTTTGTGAAGTTTTACCCATTTGGAGGTTTTTTTTTTCATGGTCTAGTGTATAAACTATCCGTCCGTCCGTCCATGTTAAGTTTGTACAAACATATTAAGGTATTTCATAGGGTAAGGTGAGAGTGAGAACTGAGAAGGATAGTTATTGGAGAGGCCCACTTCACATGCGTTGATCAAAAAAATATTTTCTGTTACTCAGTAAGCTATCGATATATTTATTGTGGACTTTCTACTAAAAAATATAGAAATTTTTTTGGGTATTATTACTATTTTAGGTACCGAGACTTAGTAATCGTTTCATTTCACTATTTTAGCTAGCTGTTTCCATCCATGCAAAGTTGACTTTGTTAATTGCAAGTATGGATATGTAGCACATGCTAGGCAGATGGGCTAGCAACGATGTGATTTAAGTGTAAAATTTACATCTGATGGTCAAAATCGTCAAAAAAATCCACTTTATAAAAAAATTCTACAAGTAGGGATATGACAAGTTTTTTATGATTCTATACGTATTCCTTATACAGTAGGATATTTGTATTGTAGTACATTTGTGTTGAAGTGTTAAAAGTATTTTATCTGATAACTAGTCCTTACCTAATTACACAATCTAAGATTAGAATACCCAAACCTGATCTTGAAATCAACTTGAACAAACAACTTAAAAATGTCTGAGCCTAAATTGACCAGATCCGAATAATTAAGTCCGTTGTCATCTCTTCTGATAATGGATGTTCTGGCATAAGTTAAGATTTATCGTAGATAATATTATGTGTTACAAATTTGCTATAATAAGTTGCATGTTTGGAAATAGATTGATTTTATCTTAAGTAGGTGCCATTTGTTTTGTTAGGCAGTGTCTAGCGGCCTATAACAGATGTCATAAGAACAAAGGAAGTAATGTGTAACATAAACTCTAAACAGTATATGCTTGTTTTTGGATTGTAATAGGTTTCTTAAGTAACCCTAAACAGGAAATGGAGTATAGAATATACGACGTATATACTACTATAATATTATTGGGAAGATATGTAGTACTCCACAAAATTAGCTCTTTGTCCTTTTTTTTAATAAGAAGTCAACGCCTTGCCTGTCCAATAGAAGTAAGGAAATGTGACCAGTATCAGCCTATCAGGCATGTGTTAACTTACATTATTAGATACTACTCTGCTCCTAAATATATTTAACACTTACATTTGCATGTAGATTTAGGAGATTAAGTGGGTAGTACGAAGTATATAAAAAGTGATTATTTTAATGTGCAAATAGGATTGATGGGAAATATTTTAAAAATTTGTGTGAGAGAGAAACAATAAAATGTTAGTGCAATTGAGGTTAATGGTAAAGAGAAACGATAAAATATTAATGGTCTCATGTCAAAATAAAAAGTGTTGCAAGTATTTTTAAAAAGCCGAAAGAGGTAAGATTTTATTTGAATAGTGGACCTTGACTTTGTTGTTTCCATTCTTTTCAACTTAATTTGACTTGTGACAAAAAGAAGTTTAATCAATCAATAAAAGATAAAGTCAACCAATATACATTCATAGTAATTGAATAGGAAGGGAAAAATATGCACAAGAGAGTAACACATTTGTTTATTAAAATATTTATAAAATTAAAATGTGCAAGAGTTTCTCCATTTTGTCGTGAATTATTTTATCAATATCTCCATTACTCTCATATCTTGATCTTCCCCAAATCTTGTTTGATTGATCAATTTCTCACTATGAGTATCTCCATTTGATTTATGTAGGTTACTTCAGTTTGCATGCAACAACTAATGAACTAATTTCTGTATTGGAATGAAGTAATCTAGTCAGCAATAGTACGATGTTTCTCATTTGTATTAATATTGTTGAGCCATTCTTTCAATGTTACATAAGTTTCTATAAAAATAATATAACTGTGTTTTGAGTTTGTAGCTACATTATCTTATGTGTAGTCCTTCATGACCTTTTAAAACTCGTTGAAATCAAGTGAATTATCTGAAAGTAATATTATATAATATATAGTCTGAGTGATTGCATGAATCAAAAAGTCCCGAATATATTCTAGCATTCATTGGCATTATTTTGTTGGAACTTGGGATATTATGGAAACTACTAACTGGTAAGGCATTAGAAGATCAGGTGCAATGGTCACCCTCTCGACGGCAAAGTGTTCTATCCTACTTATTTGAGTACTTGTCCATGTGGCTTGTGGTTATTTAAAAATTTAAAATAATCAATCAATTATATTGGTCAAACAATGGCTAGTGAACTGCCATATTCAGCAATGACGGTCTATAATTTTATATGTGACCTACTGACTTGTCCTTTTTTCTATTGTCTTTTTGTAACAAATCTTCTTATATACTAATTCCATGCTTATTTGGCAAATATGCAATCTTTTTGTTCTGTTTACATGTGATTGTTTGTATAAATAAGCTTTACTATGATGCAGTCATTAACTTGGATCATATAATTGTAGGAATTTGTGTGTGTTTTTTCCTTCTTGTTTATGAAGTTTAAAGATGGGTTAGGAATTGCATGTGTTTTAGCGAGGTTGGCCCTTAGATTTGGGATTTTGGGGTGATGATAAGGCAAAAGAAACTACAAGAGAAGACAGGAAAGATGGGGTAGCCTCATATTATTGAGCTAGATAATGAGTCATTGCTACAAGTGTAGGAAGTTACTGTTGACTAGAGCTTTGGACATGAACCGTGTTTAAAGTCTAAAATATCTTGTATCTAGCTAATTAAAACTAGAGTATCATAATCATCCTTCACTATTGAATCTTAAAGTCTCCACCATATGAATAATGCTTATTATTCAATTCTTAGTTAAATACTCCCTCTTTATTTAAGTATTTTTTTATAATTTTTTTTCCACGCACAGCAAGGAAAAAGAGTCAACAACGAGGCTATTGGAGTTACATGGTGGCTTTTTGAGGGAAAATACAAAAGGGGAACTAGAATAACAATATATCTAAAAAAGGAAAGAGTCATTAGGAAACTTAAAATGTAGAATGTGATATGTGAACAACTTAAAGATTATAACAATATATCTTACACTTGTAGGAGTCTAGCATTTATTCTCTGGTGGCTATTTTACAATAGAGACTATTATTTTGTTGATTGGCTAGTTTTTAGTTATGTTCTGTATCTTTATTTAGGAAATTTGGAATTGTGAACTTTTGGCAAATAATTTCATAGTCTCATTTCATTATACTTTTTAATACTATTTTATTCATTAACTAGTTTTTAATTATGTATCACAGTCCAGGATATGTACATTTTGAACTTTTGGCCAATGATCTCACATCATGTATGCCGGTTTCCATTACTTAGAGATTGGACTTGTATGCATTATTCATTTATATGAAAATATCTTGCATAGTTGCATGATAATATGATCGATCCTTAGAGACAAGAGAAACATTGTTATTTGGTAGCACTAAAAGCGTTGCAGTAAACAAGGCTTCCTTGGAATATACTTGGTCATTATATTTGTCAATGTGAAAGATAGTTATAGCAGTATTAGTTGTATAATCTTGCAGTTTTGCAGTCCTCGAATCAAATACTGAATCAAAATTCCATATACCGACTGAAATTTCACCCCTGTTAATAAGCTTCATTACTGATGTCATGCATGATTTCTACCTTTAAATGGTAAATCTTGTGGGGATTGCGCTTGTACATTTTTGCTGAAAGCAAGGTTTTTTGGGGATAGGTTATTATAGTGATCTAAGGACCAATGTTTAGACACGAAGGCTTAGTAAGAATTGCTAGGGAAGCATGCTTGCGACAAATCCTCACACTCACACAGACCAATATTAAAATATTACCCTTTACTATTAAACAATATTATAAGAGAATGTTTCTTAGCATAGATATCCTTGCTAGTTGAAGAGGTATGGGAGTATAATAGCTGAAAACAAGGTTAAGAGAACATAGTAGAAAAGGTTGAGATCCATGTGAAAAGGAGAGGAAGAGAGAGAACGTTTGTTACGAAAAGCTTAGTGAGAAAAAGAGGCCCTCTGTTTAGGAACTTGCACCAATAGAGAGCTCCTAAGCTGTAGCACTGACCTTATAATTGCTCATTTGCGTTGTCTTGTTACTGCTCAAAGCTTATTGGCTTATTAAAAATAACTCACTCTACGAAGGTTTTTCTATCTCCCCAAGTCGACATTCTTACAAAGTTCTTAATCTAGAGAATAAATACTTTGGTGACAATGAAGGTGAGGAGAGAGATATATGTGCATGATGTAGCTGTAGTAAACTTTTTCATTGTAGTTATATAATTGTTTGCTAAACAAAGACTATCTGGTTTGTGAATATTGCAGTTCTTCAACTGGATGCAGAACAAGCTTAATGGAAGACCAGGGAACCAAACCCCGAATTCAGTCCCACCAAGTAGTAAGCTTCTTTTTTCTTGCCATCTTTCTTTACAGACGACTTTTTGATGGTACAACTACATTACATCCACGGTCCACCAATATACTTGCACAAATCACATCTTTCATGCAACTTGCACGAGTTGCATGAGAAATGCGTTCATGTTTATTGTAGGATTTCATGGCTCCAAGTTTCGTCCTTCTTACTCCGTATAATTCAGATCCTCATTGGCTCTTCATATATTATTATGTTTTGGAGATTTACGTTGCCCTTCTAAGGTCAATGTATGGGGATACCTTTTTCGTGTAATATTTCTGTGATGGAGAGGCTTGACCTCAACCGTGTAGTATAGTATAAGGAGTTCTGATCTCTATAATTTGTCAAAACACTAGAAAAGAAAAAAAGGGAATAAAGGAAAGTTAAAAGAGCTCAAAAACCATTTGGCATGCACATGCATAGATATAGTCTTTTTTTCTACCTAACAAATATCCGCTTTGCATTGCCTTACACGTATGGTTCTTCGAGGTCTATAAGCAATAATACATACTGCTACAGATGTATGTGTCACCTTTAATGTTTCCTGATGCTATGCTTGCTATATTTTGATTTTTTGAGTACTATCTCTCTTCTGATATCCTAGGTATACTCGGTTTCCTGTGCTTATCTCTATTGTACTTCCTAATTATGCTTAAGCAATAAGAAATATGGTCTCGAACTACAATGGATGTTTCAGCAGGTTAGCTATTCAGATCCGTGCTTCTAAGGTTTTCTTGAAGGCTTCCAACTCTTTTATTCCTATATTGGGGACAGATCAATAGTTAATTGGTGGATGCTGAGGGTTTTTTTTTTTTTTTTTTTCAACAGGTTTGAATCAAAATTAGGATAATCTTCTCTTAAACCTTCATCCCATACTTTCCCATAACCACATGTCTAGCTAGAAGCACAACCAAAATTTTTAAGGTAGTTTGGGCCTGGGGTTTTAATTAGCTTCTTTTTTATCACCTTTCTAACCCTGCCATATCTGTAACGACTCAGATAATACTGATGTTATAAATTATGCCGGTACTAGCAGTATGGAGATTTGACTTTAGAGGCTTATCAATATTTTTTGTTAAAAAAAAAAAATGGTTTTGTATCTTTAGGGAAGTACTTGGATTTTTTTTTATTAAGTCACTTGAGTTGTGTACTACATATACTACCTCCGTTAATTGTTATCTGCAACTAAGGAGTATTATTTGTGAGAGATAAAATATTCCAAAGTTGCAAATAACAATTAACGGAGGTAGTATATTTTTTGTGATTTTTATGGCTCTGCGTTCTAACTTGTTTTAGAATGACCAATGTAGATTGTCTAACTTAGTCGTAGCATTGCCAAGCATAGTGATGAGTGGATATGCCCTTACTCTCAGTTTCTAGGCAATGCCTGACTAGAAAACTGGTATCTTTCTTCTTCTGGTTACAGACAAGGTGGAAGACTTGGTTGGTTGTGTAGGGAGCTTCACCCTACATGGTTATCTGGAAATGTGTATTTTATGCTTAGATTTTTCTGGTACTAAACATTGTTTAGATGGTGCAAGGTACAATAGCAATTTACTGGGGAAATTAACCCATTAGGACCACAAGTACGAATAATTGTCTAGCCTATCAGTTGTGTGTTAAGATCCTACATCTAGATTCTATACAATTGCTTATGCCTCATTATCACCTTTTTTTAAGATGAAACCAGTCTAGGTTCGCGTGTGTATTGTCTAGAACTGTTAGCCACAAACAAATTTTTTTGTTGTAGCGAAAGCCACAATGGGCAAATGATGAATTTCATGTTATGGAACTCGTATATCTGTACTACGGAAGCCAATTGTGAGACTTTTTGTTCAAATGCTTTTCTTAGGCCTTGTTTGGTTGGATGTAGGAAGTAAAAATTCCCATGAAATCTCAATTCATATAAAATTGTAACTCCTAGAAATTCCCAAAATTGTTTGGTTGGATGTATGAATTTCTACTTGCCATGGAAAGTTCTACTTACCCTAGGGGGGACTAGGTAAGTTAATTCCTCCATTTTGTGGGAAGTAGAACTTCCTAGGAAGTCCCAATTCCTACATTATTGTCAACCAAACAAGTATGCATATATTCATTTCTTAGGAAATCAAACTTTCCATGAATTTGTTTTCAACCAAACAAGGCCTTAGAGTTCAAGAGAAGCAAACCCCTAGCTAATTCTAGACAACAGTGTGTTATACTTCAAATGTTGTCAAGAAAATTCATTGGCTATGTCTTGACCAATTTCTTTTCTAGATTTCAGGGATAACATATAGATTCTTAGACTAATTCAAGGATATTATGACCATAGCAAAACCATGACCTCGCACGGAAATTTCTATGTTATCTCCAACACCTGCCTAAAAATTCATAAATTGATCAACAACACTGAAAATCATGAATCTGGTGTAGGGATTTGAGCCATGAAACTTATTTCTCTGATAGAGATAGAATTTTGTATGCAGCTCCTTCAAAACTAGGTTTGCTAGGACCTATGAATCCGGGGCTAGCTTTATATTAATAAACTTAATGGATTTTTATGTTGCCCATAATCTTAAAAATTTGCTGCATTTTCTAAATTTCTTGTTGTCTAATACTCTAATGTTAACTGGATCCTAATTCCTCTTGTCAATTTGACAGATCTTCCAAAACAATCTTCCCAGAGAGAAGAGTTCAATGACTGGCCTCATGGACTGCTAACAATTGGGACATTTGGTATCAAGGATCTCAAAGAAGAAGCCGCTAGTTCTGAGATTCAGACTGCCACTCATGATCAAGAACTAGAACAGAATCCCACCTCTGCTCCATCCCCGGACTTGTCAGAATTTTCTCCAGAAGAGTTTGGTCAATTGCAAAAGGAATTGACAAAGCTCTTAAAACGAAAATCAGCTAAACAAGAGGAAAGCTCTGATCTACCTCTGGACAGATTCCTTAACTGCCCTTCAAGTTTGGAGGTCAGCAGGAGGATTTCAAATGCTGTTTGCACTGATCCTGATTACAAGGAAGATGATATTGAACGCACAATTAGTGTAATAATCGGTAAATGCAAAGAGGTCCGGGCAGAGAAGACTCAGAATGCGATTGGGAAGAAATCAATTTCTTTTCTTCTTAAGAAGATGTTCGTTTGTGCAAATGGGTTCACACCGGCTCCTAGTTTGAGGGACACTCTACAAGAGACCAGAATGGAGAAGGTACATTGTTAATCAGTTCTAAGAATTTTAGCAAATCCTTGATGTCTTCTACTGGATTTCTGTGTGTAGTGATAGGCTTATGTTTATTAATTTGCCTATTCACCAGCTACTGCGAACCATTATTCATAAGAAGATGTACCCTAAAAATGCTTCTCGGACATCGTCGATGAAGAGATATATTGAAGATAAACACAATACTACAGAAAAGAAAATTAACGAAGAGGAAGATGACAAACCAAGGCCAAGCGAGGGATGTAAATGGGACAAGACAGATTCAGATTGTGAGTTTATTTGCACTGTTATGCTCATTTATAAAAATTATTTCTATGTTAAGGTCACTAGTATCTTGTGAGCATGCCACTGATCATTTAAAGTTCTTGCTTGCTGCAGATATTGTTCTAGAGATTTGATATTTTATCACCCTTATACAGATATATTATACCAAGGTATGAAAACCTGTTACATGTTCATCCCAACAGAAAGGTTTAAATTAATTAGAATTTCCTTGAATTATCGCTTTAATTGGTTTATCTAACTTACTGCTCTATATTTCTTAGCAGATTTAAGTATATGTATGCATCGTCTTCTTGTTCAATAACTTGGATTTGTCAGAGGAATGAGTTCGTAAAACTGATGGAGGAAATAACAGAAGAAATCGTTGGCACTTGAAGGAATCCTGATATCTTTTGTGAAACGGGGAAACTTGCCCCCCTTTTTTTCATGGTTGTATCTGTTGATGTACAGATCAACTCATGTTATGTAACATTCTGTATTTTAAGCTGTCGAAGCCAGACACTTAAAATTTTTTCCTCCCCTTTTTTCTTTCCCTTTGATATTCTTCTTCCATTTTCCAAATGGAATCCTCTTTTCCTCTCTTCTTTTTTGTGTTATTCTGCTTGTTAAAATTTGCATAGGACAAGAGTTGGACACATAAAACAATGTATGATTCATACTAATTAAGAATAGATGAAGTAGTTTAATAGTTTTGTAAGGCAGTTATTTTCTTTTTTGTCATGTGGAGTTACATTTAACATTGCTTATTTTAGCATGTTAGATACTGTTACTGTGCATACATGTAGCCAATAAGAAGAGAGGTTGAAATACCATTTTTAGTTGTGGTAATATTACTATTGATCATTCCAAATGTGTCTTTTTTTAACAATAATGCTCGTGGACAAGGTGAAATTTCCTTACAAATTATATTATGCAATCAACATAAATAAATAACATGACCATCTGCCGTAAACGGGGTAATTGCCACTTTTGTTGATGCTTATTTATATTAATGGCATGTCATGAGGACATGAGAAAACAATTGTTCATGCCATGTACTTAATACCACTTATTACATGTTTCTAGCTCATAGTACATGTAATAAAACACTCAAATGGTGTGTGCTGTTTGAGGTATTGAGGAATGAGGATTATCAATTGTACGCCCAAGTTTATAACATCTATAAATATACTAATATTAAAAACTGAAACTTTTGGTCTTCTTATACCGCTTGTCATATTCCTACTTGTCTATAATTTGACATGTTTATTATTTTTAGGTTCTATAATTTAACATATTTACATTATTTATTTTGTTTTTTCATTTACTTTTTTTCATGTAGGGTTGCATTAGTTTTTTATTTTTTTAATCAAACTCCCATTTTCGTTTACTATTCAAATCATATTGCATTTTCTTTCATTTATATTACATCAATTTTTTTTAACAAGAAAGATATAATTTATTAGTGTAACTTATTAATAATTTGAAAAAAAAAATATCTTATATTATAATAAGTATTTTAACAAAAATTATAACAATTACTTATATGATTTGATAACAAGTTCAACTTGTGCATTGAACTAAATAAATACTAGTTTTTCTCTAAGAGAGAATTAATTTAATGAAATTTTGACTTATTTCAAATAAAATCTAATAAGCTCAATTTAATATTGCAATAAGTTTGATATTTTCATACGTTCGCATCAAATTAACTCCAAATTCAAATTCATATAAATGGAATACCTTTTAACATAATTTTTGTGTTGAATTTGAAAATACTTTGACAGCTCTAAAAATATGCTTAATACGAAGTATTCGTATTTATCTAGCCTTAAGAGGGCTTGTAAGAAGTCCAATACGTTTATTTTTTTATCGCTCAAAATTAAAGTAGAGTTTTTTTTTTTCTTTTTCTAATCAAGTACACTAGAGTTGCTACTGAGTTGTAAAAAGGGCTTGTCCCAATTAATCAAACTAAATCAGTCTATTTTTTTTTTTTTATTATTTATCTTTTTAAAAAAATAAAGCAAAGTCATATTCCCAGTTTCACACCCACCTGAACCACGCCACCACCATCACGTCACCATCGTCACAACCACCACAATCATCACAGCCACCATCTCTCCACCAAAACCCATCACAACTACCACCATCTCTCCTTCTTCCCTCGTCGTCTTCCCCTTCTTCTTCCTTCCTCAACCCCTCAACACTGCTTCGCGGCGGAACAAAACAAAACCCTAGTAACAAAGAGTGTTAAGTATGGCCATATCAAGTTATCAACCCCTTAGGTGAGCATCTTATTCGCGGCAGCAATTTTAACCACCTTAGATGATGGAAATGGGGGAGGCAATGATGGAGTTAGCTTGACTGTTAGAGGATAGAGAAACCAACAATGGAGGAAATTTGAGATTAGAAAGAGGAAGAAAGATGGAAAATTAGTATGTTGCCCACAAACTAATTGATAAAATGACCATTATATCCATTGATATACCAACTCCGTATATTAGACTGATTAACTTGTATTTTTTCGTTGTAAAAAATAATGTTTCTTACTTCTTTTTTATTTAAAAAATAAAAATTACGTAAGGTTTACTTCTAGGAGTTCAAGTCATTGAACAATTAAACCTTTTTCTATGGTTCAATTATTTTCCAACCTCTAAATAAATTTACCCAAACCCTCAACCACCACTCCCCCTTTCCTTCCTAAAAAAGAAAAAAAAAAAAGGAAAGAAAGAAAGAGGAGTGTAGAAAAGAAGAAATCTTTGAGCTGTCAGTTCTAATTGTATTGTCTTCAAAGGAGAAAATTGAATTTCTGGGTTGAATTTGATTTCTGGATTGAAACTAATTCAAGATTCAAATGTCGTGGGCCGGTCCTGAAGATCTGTATCTTTCAACTTCTCTCGCCAGTTATCTCGACAGTTTGTTTTCTTCCTCTCTCCTCGTCTTTTAATCTTCTGTTGCAAAAGATCTCATTTTATTTGTAATTTTATCCAAATTTTTAATCTTTTTGTTTTCTAATTCATGGATGTTTCACTTTAAATCCCTTTACTTTACTTTCTGTTACATTGGGATTCTGGGTTTGTACTCTTGTTTGTTTGTTGATAATTGGATGTTTAGTTTGAGTTGAATTATTGGGCATATACTATTTCTTTTTTATTTTAATTATTTGATGTGGGGTTGATTATGCTTGATTTGAGTTGAATTATTGGGAATCAATTATTTTTATGTGCTTTGCTAATGTATGTCCCCTAGTTATAGCTTCTTGTTAGTGTATTCTGATTTTTTGAGGTTGGAATTTGATTTTTAGGTATATGATTCTTGAGTTGGTTTGATGGGATATTAGATAGAGTGAAAGTGGAAGTGCAAATTTTGAATGGGGACAATATGGTTTATGACTCAAGAGTACAATCAATAGAGTTGCCAAAGGAATTGAATTTCATTCTTTGACCATTTGTTTTCCACATGTTTCCTGTGAGCCGTGATCCGTAGATTGTAAAGTTGATGGAACTCTTTAATTCAGCCCTGAGTCTCAATTGCCGAGGATTTGGTCATTTTTGGACCTTTGATTCAAGACTTGCATTGATTGACCTTGTCGAGATAGCTAGGGTTTTCACTTGATTGATTTTCCTTGCCTGATGAATTTAATGTTGTTTAGTAGGGAATGCAAAATTATGTTAGGGTTTGGTTGAATTCAAATCAATGATGAAGGTTTTAGTGAGAGTTGACTTGCCAAGGAGATCTGATTTTCATGCTGTTCCAATTCATGGAAGTTTGTTTGTTTACGAATGTGTGAGTGTTTAGTTGTAGAAGGACATGGGTCTTCTGATTTGATTTCTTTGGTAAATGTTGGACATTAAAGCCTTTTTTGCCTCCTTATCGGTTATCTTCTCTTTTCTTCCGAAGTATTTCAGTTCTAAAACCGGAGTCTTTCCCAGAAGCTACAAGCCATGTCTTGGAAGGTGCATCATATGAGATAGTACAGTGTCTAAACAAGCCACGTTTGCTCAATCTTCTGCTGTACATATCTGTTTTCTTTTCATGCACTATGTGAGAGAGGGATGGAACCTAGATGGTTGCATCCCTATGTGGTGGTGGCTGTTTATGCTACTGTTCTTTAGTAACAGGCTATCATATGGTATCTTATCATAGAAAATGTATGTGCTAAAGAGATTTTGGCCAGGAGACTTCATGTATCATTTGGATGAAGCTATATCATGTTGGTCGTTTTTCAAGAGTAACCTTTTGTGTATATACAGAAAATATCATTTCGGTGGAATGTGAACATAAAATACCTCTTGCTAGTTGCCTTCTTACTATCAACCTGTATGGGTTGCAGACCTCCTTAATTATAGTTGTTTTTGTAGTAATATGTACTTTCTTCTATGTCATACAGGAAAGATTCTTGTTTTACTACGAGATGGAAGAAAACTCTTAGGGACACTTTGTTCATTTGATCAATTCGGTACCTTTCTGGACCAGTTTTGTATATTATTGATCAGTTAAGTTTCATTCCCTGATCTCTAGCTGAGTACATTGTTATGATTTGATCGCAGCAAATGCTGTTCTTGAAGGTGCATGTGAAAGAGTCATTGTTGGTGACCTTTATTGCGACATCCCATTAGGTTTATATGTAATCCGTGGGGAGAATGTGGTCTTGATTGGTGAGCTGGTATGTTGTACAACGTCCTTATGCCTTCTCATATGTCCTTAATTTGCCTGATTTCCTGCTTGATATAATACCAACAATGCATTTGTAGGATGCGGAAAAAGAGGATCTCCCCCCTCATATGTCACGTGTATCAGTTGCTGAGATCAGAAAGGTGGGTGCTTATGAGGAAATGCTTACTGCTTGTTCTTCTTTCACTAATATCATTTGTTTTGTGCATATATCAAGCTTTTTTTTTAGCAAACACAGTACTGCCAGTCCATGCTGTGCACTTGTGCAGCGTGTTTTCTATACTTGTACTGCATCTGTATCTGCATATCTTTTTAATCATCTTTAAGACTATTAGTGTCTCCTGAAGTTTCTGAACAATCAATTCGGTTTTCCCCTTCATTTTCCTTTTTTTTTATCCTCATTTTTCCAACTTCCTGAACTACATAGTAGCTTTGGTGCATTGGATTTTTATGAAGTCAGCGACTTTTTCATAGGCTGTGAAGTTTAATCCTGCATTGAAACAATGATAGAACTAATATTAGCTTGGGAGCAACTTTATTTCTAAGAAGAATGAATTACATTTTTGCAGAAGAATATGCTTACTAATTTGTCCATATAATGAGTCTTATGTACATGGTTCTGTTGTCATTGGATAATTTTGATTAAGTAGACGTGTGAAGTTTCTGCTTAAAAAATTCAAAAATGCTCATTTTGTCTTCATGCCATTATATGTGCATGTTTGAGATGTTGAGTGGTCATTCTATTTCTACTCATGCAATGGCACCAGCTGTTTTATTACTTTCCCTTCATTGAGTAAACCATTTTTTTTTTTTGGTTTTGTGGAGAACCTATTCAATAGATATGTGTTTGAGTTTTCCATTTGCAGGCACAAAAAGCAGAGAGGGATGCCTCTGATCTTAAAGGCCTAATAAGAAAGAGGATGGAGTTTCTCGATATGGACTGAAACTTATTGTTGGTGTTCAGAGAGTTGTTTTTCCTTGTCAACACCATGCCACATCGTCTGCTAGTCGGTCTGAATATTCAAAAGACCAAGATTTTGCAATGGATGATGTGCCACGGTATTAGCAAGCATTGTTGCTTAGAAGCTAATCTGTACAAGATTGTGTAGAATTAACAATTATTAGTTGATGGCTGTTTAATATGGTCCTAAATTACATCCTGGGAGTGTTAAAACTCCCGTTTTATTTCCCTGTTGGTTCATTTCTTCGATTTAACGAGCACAGATGAGTGCCTGAACCTTTATTTAACCTTCTAGTATACTGGAGTAGGCTCTCATTTACTTCATACGATGTTGAATCGATCCGACTTGTGAAGAATAAGCTTTTGCAGATATCATCATATCAGTACTTTCAGTAGGTTCAGCCATTTGATGAGCAGCAGAAAATGAAAAATTAAGTCATTTTAATTTTATTTTAGAGGCAATTGTCTAATTAAGTGTGGACTTGGGCCTGGATTAGAGAGTACTGTCCAACTAACAAGATCATACAAATTATAAAGCCCATCAAGTGGTTGATCCAGGCCCAATATGTTGAAGGATCTGACAGCACCGACAGTACAGTGCGAGGATAATACGAATATATTAGTGCAAATTCACCCTTTCACATATTTGACTTTCCTCTTGGCCTTATTTTCATTACTGAAATGAAAACTAACAAGTCAAAGAAGATTTGTTTTACTATTAATCATTGTTAATTGTGATCTTCGATCCCAAGATTAGCCAACGACCATCTTTATTTTTTTGTTATTGGTAGGTAAATAAATGGGAGTAGGTTAGAACTTTACACAACACTTTTGGTTAATAACTTGAATTCGGCTAAAACTTGTTTAATAATTTGAGCTATTTAGACTTTAGAATTCTGAATTTCATTTAAGAAATAAATTGAACATGAAAAAAGTTATGCACTTCAAGCTCATGAATCATAATGTTCTTTACATCATTTGTTTTTTAAAAAAAGATATACCTCCGAATTTGATTTCAACTTTTTTTTTTCTAGTGTGAAAATTTGAATTTCTTTCACTTAAATCCCTATATTGTATACCTAAATGCATACAAGAAAAGGTTCATTCAAGAGAAATTTTTATTCATTTGATACCTTTGAATGCACTTAACTCTAGGTACACCCGAGTGTATGTAAGAATTCTTAATATGTGTATATAACAATGATTTAATATTTATGTTGTACAAAGCATAAAATTCAATTATAAACAAGAAGCTCAGTATAAAAAGTCATTCATGAGCCGATCACAAACATTGTAACTTACTCAACAAATCAAGCTTGAGCAAATTATCAAAATCTATTGAAAGCTCAAGCTTGTTCAAGTTAAACGACCATGAACACAAAATAATTTAGCTTAACTCTTTGACATCTTTAGTGTGAATTCCTCAATTCACCTAATTTTTAGATTAACATAAAAAATATATATATATAATCACATGTTTAGTTATTTAGTACCCTAGCTAAAACTAAAACTTCTGAATTCTTCATTGACCTCAATTATTTTATTACTCCATCCTTTATTTTCTTCCTTAAACCCCGAAATTTTCTGTTTTTGCCTTTTTTTTTTTTTTTTTATTTCTTCTTATCATCATAAATTAATTAATTAATGAATTAATTAAAAAAACTCAGTAACACCAGTCTTACTACTACTGCTACTAGTGTACTTTCAAAGCTCTTGCTTCTTCCTCCATTCTTCTTCTCTGGTAGATCCACACCATCTTCTTCTCCACTTTCTCTCTCCTCTCCTCAACAATGGAGACGATGAAGTTCTTCGCAGCGTCATCAATGGCGATTTTGCTCATCTTATGCTTCGTTGCCGACATTGAAGCGTCGGTGCACGAATACAGAAGTCAGAAATTCGTTTCCAAAGGTAACTCATTCGTTGTTTATGGCGGAAGTGAAGGAATCTACGCTCCTTCCAGTAGATATCCTGGTGATTCCTTTATTCGGTGAGTAATTCGTTTCATTTCTACGTGTTTTTCGATTTTTTTGGTGATTTGTGCTCACTTTAGCTGCTGATTTTTGTGGAATTTGTCGGTTTAAGTTGTTGATTTTTGTTCAAGTTGATGATAATTTGATGCTGTAATACTTGTGTGAAAAGTGTGGGATCTGATTGTAAAATATTTGCTAGTTTGAATTCTAAATCTGCAAACTAGGTTTCGGAATTGCTGGAAATGTATGAAATGTGCTAGTTTGAATTCTAAATCTGCAAACTAGGTTTCGAAATTGCTGAAATTTGAAGCTCGTTTACTTTAATTGGTAACTTATGCTGTGAATGAAGTACTTTTGGGAGAAAAGTTTGTGATTGGTGGAATTTCCGGTACCAACCGTTTTCAAGTGGAATTGGAGGAGATTAGTTAATTTTATGCTGGTTATGTTTGCTCAGTGGTGAAATTTGACTAGTAATAACCCTGAGATAGACGAAAAGGTTGAAATAATCGAGTTGTCGGTATGGTATACTGAGGAATGAGGCCTGCAGGAAGCAATGTATGGGAAGGCTTATGTACTGTATCAATTGATTGGTAATCTTGTGGGTGAACTAGAATAAGCTCACTGCTTTTGTAGGAATTGCGATTATGTAAAAATTAGATCCAACCACCAAAAGGTATCATAGCTTGTGTTATGCCAGTTCATAGGATGAAATGAAGTAATTGATTACTTTTCATGACTTGGACTCAATTGATTGATTGCAAGGAAACAGTAGTTTAAGGATTTTTAAAATTTTGAATGCTTCAATTTATTGGATGAACAGTTAGTTCAATGATAAATGGTGTCAATTTGTGATATATCCCTGTTTTGTTATTATGTTATTGTATCAATTTTTGAATGTAGACGACTAAGTTTAGAGTTTTCTGTGTTGGCCATTAGTTGCTTTCTTATAGGTTGATAGATATTCACTTTCTGTTTGTGGTTTCTGGATCCAGATTTGAGAAGATTACACTTCAAAGGCCCAAGTCATCGTCTAATTTTAGCTCAAGGGTGCATGCCATACTTTTTGAGGTGGAAGACAGAGAAACAATTGGTGGTTCTGCATACGGAGGCCAGAGAGCTGTTTGCTGCACCCAGGACCTTGCAAAACTTGGTGTTTGTAAACAGGGAGATCTAATTCATCGACAATCGACAAAAAATCCTGGCTGGCCACAAGTTTCTGGTGTCTCATTTGAGGTTGATGAACTTGAAGCAACATTCACATCTAGATCAATTCAGGTTACTAAAACTGGGATGTACAACTTATATTTTATCCATTGTGATCCGAGTCTTCAGGATGTGGTTGTAGAGGGGAAAACTATTTGGAAAAACCCTACTGGTTATCTACCAGGTCGAATGGCTCCACTCATGAAATTCTATGGGTATATGTCTCTTGCATTTGTAATTCTTGGGATCTTTTGGTTCAGTCAATATGCAAGATCTTGGAAAGAAATTATTCCCTTACAGAATTGTGTAACATTAGTCATAACATTGGGCATGTTTGAGATGGCCTTCTGGTACTATGACTATGCTGAATTCAACAAAAGTGGAATAAGGCCTGTTGGGATGACTGTGTGGGCTGTAACTTTCGGCACAGTGAAACGTACCGTTTCACGTCTACTCATCCTGATGGTTTCGATGGGCTACGGAGTTGTTAGACCTACTCTTGGTGGTATCTCATCCAAAGTTACTATGCTTGGAGCAACTTTCTTTCTTGCATCTGAGGTTCTGGAATTGGTGGAAAATGTTGGTACCATCAGCGATCTTTCAGGAAAAACTAGACTGTTTTTGGTTCTGCCAGTAGCTTTGTTGGATGCTTTCTTCATATTATGGATATTCAAATCCCTATCTGCTACTTTAAATAAGCTTCAGGTACTTGCTCCTTATAATTTGTTCTTTGTTTTGTTGATTCAATTGAGTAATTTGTTTCAAGATTAAGACATATTTTGCTTATTGCCTGCATTTTCCCAGATTGAGTAATACAGTATCTTGGACATGAGTACTCTGAAAATAACCATGTCCTTTTGACTTCATATGACATTTCAACACTCTAAGGATATGAGAGTTACCATTCTATACCTTTGTCCGGCCTACACAAAATATTCTCCACACCTTTATTTGGGTATAAAACATTGGATATACTTGAAACATAGTAGATGCATGAGTTAGTTGCTACTAACGCTGAGATCTTGATTGATGTTTATGATCCTAATACTATTATAAAAATGTGGAAGCTGCAAGTATATAATCGCAACATCATCAACAATTCACAGATCACAAACCTATTTAGATGTGATTTCAGCATACTGTATTCACAAATCACAAGAAATGCTTCCCCTGAGTCTGCTTCCTCAGTTAGTAGGAACTTTCTAAACGAAAGATTCTTGGTAAAAAAAAAAATGTAGGCCAGACTCCATCTTCCTCTGATATATCAAATTCTAGCTAGGCGCTTCTCCCTTCTGTGGGTGTTAGTGCTGTTAGCATGGATTTTGAGGGTGAGATCAGATGGGTTGAAATGCAGGGGGTGCATTGTGAAATATTCATCCATTTTTCAAAAGGCTGTAAGATCAGACAGAGAAACAGACTACCATTGAACAAACCCACTAATCTATCTTTCATTTTGTTGCTCCTGCTTTTTTCTAAGGAGCCCAACAAGAGCTGCCAGTGGTGAACACTTCTTTGAGGATGATTGGTTTCAGCTCTACAACATGTACATGCTTCATGATGACATGTTAGCACAAACCATTTTAGAGCACTGCATGATGTAAAATCAAAATATCCTCAGCCATTTTTTTCTTCTTGCTTAGGAGAGATTGCATAGCCAAATGATGACTTGGTGAAAATAGGCTGTGTGACCCTGTTTGAACCATATGAAGTTTGTTGTATAACTCCAGGGTTGAACTTGTTTTCCATATTTGGCAATCTTTTATGGTAGAAAATCTGAATCACATCTAATATTTTGCTGTTTCATTCAGGCTCGTCGGATGATGGCTAAATTGGATATCTATCGGAAGTTCACTAATGCTTTGGTAGTAGCTGTTATTTTGTCAGTTGGTTGGATATGCTATGAGGTATAGAGCTATTGTTACTTTTATGTATGCTATATTATATATGATTATTACGCCCATTTCTCATTATTTTCTTCCGTTGTATTAATTGTTCCATTACATTCCCTTACTCTTCTGTATGCAGTTATATTTTAAGGCAAATGATACACACAATGAGCATTGGCAGAATGCATGGATTGTTACAGCATTCTGGCAGGTTCTTTCCTTCTCTTTACTAACTGTGATATGCATCCTCTGGGCGCCTTCGCAAAATTCAACAAGGTAAAAACCTGATTGTCACTGCATTTCTTTTTTATCTAGCTCAGTCATTTCCTCACGACTTCAGTTACTACCCTTTGATTTTGAAACGCGTTATTTATTTCTGGAAATGTTGATGCCCTACAATTGAAATCTATATACAATTTGGAGTCTTATACCATTTGAGGCTTTTGGATTGGCTGTGTGCCTAAATTTTTAGTGGTTTAGTTTCTTTATGAATGTGAAGATTGTCTAGGTTGGGTGTAAATTCACAATGAGGTTTGACAGAAAATTGTGAAATGTTATCTTTAAAAATATATCTCTTGATCTGTGTGACAAGGCCTTGAAGGAAACTGTTTAAATTCTGTCAAATGATTAGGTGATTAGCTTCCCTTTTTTTTTTTTTATTCCGGAGGGAAAGATCAGTCTTGGAAATTTATTATTGCAAATTAATCTCCATTAAAGCAAATAACCTTGCAAAAAAAAAAAGCTTGCCACACTTAAGTGGGCTACAGTACTTCTTCCTGCCTAACATGAGAAAAACCATCATTAATTAGCTTGTTTAGTGAGATACTTTTGGGCCATCTTGGCTTATGAACTACTTGTAGGAATTTAGGACAGCATGGGCTCTACTCAGCTCGTAGAGAACATGATGAAGTAGCTTGCTTACATTGTTGATATTATGTTCAGTACAACCTTTTTATTCTTGTTAGCAACTAGCTGTGGCTGTGCGTTTCTCTGGGACATTGTTCACCTGCTTGTGTAAACAACTGTGTTCATCATCTGATCTTTGCTTATTTGTGGGTCTCTTCATTAAGACTATGCTCCTAAGTAGGACTCATAGAATAGTTGTTTCTTCCACAGGTATGCTTACTCAGGAGATGAAGATTTTGATAAAGATGACACTCTGACTCTCATTAAGCCAGCCCCATTCCCTTCAAGCGATATGCGAACCGACCCCCATCCATCGCAAGACAGCAATAAGCTGTCTAACGATGACTCAGAAGAAGAGAAGACTGCCTGATTTGCGTACTCCATAAAATTTTCACTACAAAAATTCAGTTTCAGCATCTTGCTATTTGAAGAAACCAAATCTGCCCCTCAAAAGAAATTATTTACACGAGCGAAGCTTCAGAGGAGCATGGGAGCAAGCAAAACGGCCTCATGTTGGGATATTCTATTATTACTCCAGTAGTTGTTAGTTATACTGAAATTCATTAAGGATCAACCCGCATTTCTTTAGTCTGTACTTACTAGTTATAGTTATAGTGATTTGTTCTTTTTGATGCACATAAATTTTGTGATCGTTCATGTTTTTCCTTCTATCTTCATTTAAATAACTTTTACCTGATTATGTTTCATTTGTTCATACCCGTCTGTACTTTGTGAGGTTAATGCTAAAATTGCCGGTAAACTGTTGATTAGTATGTGAATCTCAAATAATGTGAACTGAATTTATATCGTTTTAGTTCTAGCTCTAACTAGATGCTGTGCTGCAATGACAAAAAAAAACGAGAAAATACAAGTTTATCAAATGACAAAATTGTAAATAAATTAAAAAGTTTTTATTAAAAATGGGTCCCACAGCTATTGATATATTTACAAAAATGTCATGTTGACTAAGGCAAAATTATTGATTTATTTACAATTTTACCACTTGATAAAATGGGGCTCCCTCAAAACAAAAACACCGAAGATCTGATGCTCTGAGCGACTGAGCTTCAATATTTTTACATACAAAGTATGAATTTGATTATGTAAAATGGCATAATAGTTCTTAACCTTAGCCTTCAGACCTACAAACATTTTACATACAATGTATGAATTTGATTATGTAAAATGCCATGATAATTCTTAACCTTAGCCATGACAGAAATTGTATATACTTTCTAGAAATTTCTAAACTGATCATTAAATTTGGAGAACAACTTGATTATTGAGATCTTCAACAAGACAAGAAATCGCATAAAATTGAGAGAAAATATCCCTATCAGAATATCAGAGTATTATTATACAGTTTCTTAATATTTACTCATTCTTTTTGTTATTTTCCCTTAGTTCACGCTATTTTCTCCCCACTGAACAATTAGCAAGATCATCAGAGATTAATTATCCTGTAAAGCATCAAATTAATTGCTTAATTAGATTAATAATAAGCCAATCAATTATCAATAACTAATTAATAGTCCAGGAGGCATCTGACGTGGAGCTCACATGTAATCCCATTTTGGCCGTTTGGACGGTATCCAAAATAAGATAAGCAATCTTCATGTCCCACTTTTGACCTTTTTACGGCTATAAATTAAAATTATATTATCATTATTATTACGTAACAAAAAAAATCTTTATTATAATTTTATTAAAAAAATAAAGATATCATGTACATAGGCAGAGCTGGATCTCTCTGGTATAGGACCATAGGTAAAGGTTGCTCCACGTCAGTGATAATGTCAGCCTAATTAGCTGGCTTAATTTTTTAATTTCTTCCTAATGATTTAGATTAAGACTAACCACAGATTAGGCAATAATATAATTAAAGAGGCAACTTTATATTAGTGTTGAATACTTGAGCTATGCTTACACAAGCAAAGTATTGCACAAATGTAAATTCAAACCTCAGAAGTTTCACATATATTTATTTTATTATAAATAATAAATAATGATGTAAATTAGACTCGATTTGAAAGATTATAAAGTGCATCCCAAACAACTTTATGTTAGATATGTGTGTATCAATTCACCCCCACTATTGACATGAATTTCATCCTACCTTTCTAGAGTTCTAGGTATGATTTTTTATGGAGTATAATTTATTATCTATGGCTATGTATGTCCAACCCCATTATAGTTTATTTATTCATTTATATATTCTTGAAAAAAATGTCACAAAGGGCAAAATGAGGTAAGTTGGATATTTATAAGATTCAATCTCATATTCTCGTGGAAATCATTCCCTAAGACTTTAACCAAAATATAAGTGGTTACTTCCTCTGTCCCACTTTACTTGCAACATTTTGACTGGATACGCATGTCGATCTACAATATCTTTTATTATATACCTGTATAAGCTATAAAAAGTTTATATTAAGAAACTATACGTTAAAATAGACCCAACAACATCTTACATGATTACATTGACTTTTATATAATAGCTAAAAAAGATAGTCAAAGTGAGATGTGTAAATAGTGTAAAAAGTCAAAACGTTGCAAGTAATTTGAGACGGAGGGAGTATATTTTTACACCCGAGTGTATAAAATGGACCCAATGATCCAATCCATACCGCCGATTGCAGTTGGTAAAGCATAAAGAAAAGTTCTAAGCAATTGTTTAGGTTCTGTTAATGAGTGATGTAAGACTGCTGAGTGCTGACTTATGTTGCACAAGCCATTAAGCAACACGAATACAGGTAGTTAAAGTGACTTAAATCTATTGCTTCTTCCATATCTTTCCCAGTTTTGCTCAAATTAAAAGATAGTGCAAAAGTAGAATTATATAATCTGAAATTGACCCATTCGTTGCATATTTTCCAACTTCTAATGATTCCAGAATAATCCAATGTCATGTGGCGATCTCTCAGTTTGCACCCAGATAACCGAACAAGTGTGTTTTTTTGTTTTTTTTCTTCCTTCTTTGTTTTTTCCTTTCACTTTTTTTTTATTTTTTTTTAAAATTTTTTTCCTGAGAAAAAGTACTTAATAGTAATAATTCTTTCAAAAAAAAAATAATACGGAGTAATAATAATAATCTCTCTGTTTCATATTTTTCTTCCTACTTTGATCAATTTTTTGTTTTACAAAAACAGTAAGTAAAAAGAATAATAGGAAACAGAGAGTAATAGTATTAACAATAATTCAACAAATTTAAATAAAAAAAAACCTATAATCAATAATGATGTAATCAATTTTACTCCGTATAAAAGTTTCTGAAATTCCAATCAATTTGATGGTGTCCTAAAAGATGATAAAAGTGGAATATAAATATCATGAAGTTGATATGAAACATCAGTTGGCTACAAAAATTGAAAAAGACAGGAGTATGAAAGATTAGTTGGACTTGAAAACCATGAACTTCATTCATATAAGTTGCTGACTCCCCCACATGACAATTATCTCTTGTCCAATTTCAACAAAGGTCTATTTTCATTCAAGCAAAAAGACCAAATAGCCCCAATATTACCAGTACATATCTCAGACAGTAGTGCCACACTAAAACACCAACTGTCTGAATGGAATAACTGATTACTATGCAACTGAAAAGGACGGAATACTATTTTGGGATGCCCCGAGATCAGGGGAAATAATTCAAAGATAAAAGCTCGGTGAATATTTTCACCGAAGGCAAATATGGTCAGTAGGAAAATATCGCTCCTCGACATCTGTCTTGGCTGAATACTGCCTTGGCTTAACAAGTGATGAGGATCCTAGATTTTCTCCTACAATCTCCATCATCAACTATTTTTCTAACATAATCCTTATATTTCTCTAATAAAATAATTTTTCAATATCTCAAACTACATTCAAATTTGGTTTATAAGACAAAGCATAACCTGAATATAATTATGGGAAGGTGGCAGGCCAAAGCAATCATGTACTCCAGTAATGAAAGTGATGCAGAAGAGGCCACTAACCAAAAAATTATGTTAAAGAAAACAAGGGAACCAAATAATAATGCAACCATATATCAAATCACCAACCATAAGAATGAAATAATAGTCATATTGAAAAAACGACCAAAGTATTCCTATTCTCATGAGTAAACACTATACAGTTGACTACACCATACAGATGTTCACATGAAAGCAAACTCAAATACCATAGGCATATCACAGTTTATCTTCAGATTTCAGTCCAAGACAATTTAAAAAGACACTATATCACCATAGCCCCATCTTCATATCTAAGTCCTACATATTTCAAAAGATGTTAATAGCACCTGCCATAACTCATAAAGTCATAAGCATGTTTATTATTCAATTATTTTGACTTGAACAGGATTTCAAAGAAGAAAATTCAACTAGGTTAGTCTTCTGAAAGGATGAAAAACACCAGACAGATGGGTAAAACCCCTTTTTTCCTAGGGATCAGCAATCAGCACACCTCCGGCAAAAGTTGTTCATCCAAACACAGTAACAACGGCAACAGTGGTAGCATATAAGGAAAACAAAAGGTCAAAGGTAATACAACCTCCGTCGGCACATTCTTACCAATGTAGTCATATATTTGGAATTCATAGTGAAAGACTGAAAAGTATCATTCTTACCTATGTGGCTCTCCCAAGAGAGAGAGAGAGAGAGAGAGAGAGAGAGAGATGTCATACAGATTAGTCCATGAATGGATAAGCTCAAGATTAGGTTACAGACCTAAGAAGTAGCATCTTTATGTGGGGTTGGAACAAAAAAAGAAATGTGGCCAATAATTTAGGGACGGAGAGCATTGGTTATCAATGCACTCATGTTATTCCACTTCATTAAATTTTGTCTTGAGAGAGCACACCAACCACTAGTGAAGTATATAGGATATGAAACCAATAGAACTCTAAACCCTAAAGGCAAGAAAATACAATTCAGATGATATGTGAGCACATCTATTTCACAGAAACTCCCTCAGAATTTCTAGCGATAGTCCCGTTATGTATATTGTATACAATTTAAAGTTATGCTATCAAATCTCACAGGCTAACAAAAAAATGAAGAATGAAAGATCCAAAACTTGTGAATGCTTCCTAGCCACAACAAATCATAGTAATGCTCTTTAAACACTAGGCAGAGGAAAATATTATTCAAATACATCTAAATCAAAGCAACTTCCTGCTGTGTCTCATGTGATGGTCTCCTTACGTATGCAATTCAAAGTTATGCTATCAAATCTTCTAGATCATAACAACACATAATGAAGAAAAGGAAAACTCCACAATCTTATGAATGCTTCCAAGCACCAAAAATTATAGTGACAATCGCTGAAAGATTAGCGATATTTTCCAATTTATGTAAAGAGATAACATATAAACTCATTTCCAAAGGACAAAAGGACACGTATAAAAGAATATTGCTTATAGATATAAGAGTGTTGAAAACAAAAACACACGTTGAACAGTTTCCATATGAACAAAAATGAACCAAAAATCTAGGTTGTGGTGATACAAACAACATAAATGCTTACAGGACAGAAGCATTCAGACTCTGGCAATCCTGGAGGGCAAATTCTTCGATTTTTACCCACTTGCTGCACTACGATTCTTGATTAATCAAAATGCGCTGCTTCAAGGAAAAATATTCTACAGGAATCGCACTGGATCAAACAGAATGCCGTCACCCAAAGGCTTCTTCAAAAAATTTAAAGAATGAATTCCTAGTCTTCTAGAGTCATAGTTGAATAATCATTATCCCTGTGACCTTTTTCTCAAATGTTGTGTAACTGGGTTACCCTC